TCTTCTGCCTCTCTGGATCGCCACAACCCTTGGGCCTGCTTTCCCACACCACTGAGTCCCCATAGGACAGGACTTAGGTCTGATTCCCACACCACAAGAGCTGTAGTGGTGCAGTGGTTAGAATGCTGCATTGCAGGTGAATTCTGCTGATTGCCAAGGATTTAATCCTGACCGGCTTAAAGTTGACTAACAAAGTGCATAAATAACAAAAGAGCATAAATTTACAGATACAGATAATCAGAGTTGGAAGGGACCTTGTAGGTCATCTAGTCCAACCCCCCACCCAAGCGGGAGACCCTACACTATTTCTGACAAATGGCAGTCCAATCTCTTCTTGAAAGTCTCAAGTGATGGCGCTCCCACAACTTCTGAGGGCAAGGTGTTCCATTGGTTGATTGTTCTCATTGTCAGAAACTTTCTCCTTATTTCCAGGTTAAATCTCTCCTTGTTCAGTTTCCATCCATTATTCCTTGTCTGGCCTATAAGAGCTTTAGAAAATAGCTTGACCCCTTCCTCCCTGTGGCAGCCCCTCATTGATTTGCCATTGATAGTGTAGTGAAGATTTTTCAACTAACAGTTTCTGAACATATTATCTTGGGACTCACTCCTAAGAAGTCCCCAGATATAGCATTCAGCATCGGTTAAGGATAGGCAAGAAAACAGAAAAGATCGGTAGAGAGAAGTTTTTAAAAAGTATCTGTGCATACACACATGGCTAGTACAAATTGGCAGTCTTTTTGAAGTGCAAAATTTCTCCTCTCTACATTTTCTTCTCAGAACTGGTTTTAGAGGCAGAAAAATCCACAAACTACTGTGCTACATTGCAATAATATACTATGAGGCATGACAAACCACTTGTCATGCCTTGTTGTGGGATCCTAAACGCTGATGCTAAAAATAAAAGTGTAGATACCACATGAGCCACGGTGGCGCAGTGGTTAGAGTGCAGTACTGCAGGCTACTTCTGCTACCTGCTGGCTGCCTGCAATTTGGCAGTTCAAATCTCACCAGGCTCAAGGTTGACTTATCCTTCCATCCTTCCAAGGTCGGTAAAATGAGGATCCAGGTTGTTGGGGACCATATGCTGATTGTGTAAACCGCTTAGAGAGGGCTGTAAAAGCACTGTGAAGCGGTATATAAGTCTTAAGTGCTATTGCTACTAGGGCTCACATCCTCCTCCTCTCTTACCTTTTGAAGAGCTCTGGAGCCTTTTATAGAGTTGGAACAAGGCACTTCAACACAATGCAATTTTGGAAGCAACTGCCATATTGCCAGTAGCCACATTGAACTATTGCTGAGAACATGGTGGCCGCTTCTGGAATTGTACCACATGGCCGCGCAATGAAACAATCCTTTCTGCTTTCCCAATGCAATGTGCACAGCATTGAGGAAAGCATCGGAACGTTCATTTCTGCCAACCCTGGTCTCTGCAGTTAATTTTTCCTTCCTAGAGATAAGATCTTTACACTTGCTATAATTAAGCATCTTTTTAAGTTTTACTTAATATTCATAAGCTATTGAATATGAGCATATGGGTATGGTAAGGGATGACAGACAATAATGGAAAGATTATTGGACACTGTCTAAATAATTTTATTTTGTTACTTTCTCTGAAATCATATCTAACCTGGTGGTTAAAAAAAAAAAGATGAGTTCCAGAACAATGCCAATGAACAATGAATACAAATGTTAACGTTTCTTGGTCCCTTGTTGAGTATGAAAACATCCGTTTCCATTTACAAGAGAAGACTGGAAATAACTATCCCCACTCAACCTATCCTTTCCTTAGCAATTAGAACACTTATAGCATCTGCGAATGTCAAAGTCTGCTCTTAATTAAAGCTGTTGTATATTATCTAAGATCCAGTTTGATCTATCTGCTTGGATGTGAATATATATATACATATATAAACTTATAACTTATAAAATCAAGAGGTTTTCCCAAATTCATACAAAATTAGTTGGAAAATGTAGTTTCAGTCTTTACCGATTTAAATATCTCTTTGCCACCTATACTTTGGAAAAGCACATGCTTTCTTATTCCACAAAGCTAAGAGGAAAAGCTCACTATTTATAGATATCTCAGGCCAGTGTTACTGTGCCGGATTTTCTGAAAAAAAGTGATCTGATCTTGGCCCTTTGTGTATTATACTCTACTCTCCTTCAAGAAAATTTTGCTTTTTTAAAAACCTCTTTTGTTCTTTTCTTTATTGCTGTGGTTCTTTTCTTAGCTAGAGTGGTATCGCATTGTTAGAACAGTAAATCCTTTTCCTGATTCTAAATGCATTAGTGATGTTATTGTTTCTAAAGAAATAACTATAATTCTCCATTTCTTACTGCAGCATAGTTACATCCACAGCTCAGAAGCAAGATGGGATTGTTCAGATGTAGTCATTTTTATCACAATGAGCATATTTACAAGTTAACATTTAATTAGTTTAAAAAGTTATATGAGTCATTCTTTCCCGTTTTTCCCCCCAATAACAGGTAAATAAACAGTACAAGTGTATTTCTGTACTGGGAAGGATTTTTGGATAATCCTGGATTATGGCAAACAGGTTATTTGCTTGTTTGCTCATGTATAATTCTTCCCATATCTACTGCATGGCAGGTAAACAAATTGGATCTAATACTGGTTATGGATCCTGGCTTCTCTAGTTTGAATAACACACTAAGCCAGGACTGTCAAACTCCCAGCCCATGGGCCAGATGCGTCACACTCTGGCCACGCCTACACCCACTTTAGCGAAGGGGGAAAAAGTCCTGATATGTTAACATGACACTGTCATAACGACATGAGTTTGACACCCCTGCACTTAGCTGTTCTGTCTTTTTAGCTTTGTCGTTTTTCCATTTTATCAGTTTTAAGAAAAAATTACATATTTGATGTTGGCTTAAGGTTAACTTTTCTCAAATTGGCTATTTCCAGATGTGTTGTGACTGCAGTTGACTGGTGTATACGTTAGCAGATATTGGGGAACACTTTGGCTTATAGCTCACCTTACTCTACAGCAGTTGTGTTTTTCAAGTCTTTGCTTTTAGACTCCTCTGTTGAACATTCTGATGAAATTAGGGTTGGCATTTCTAAGAGACTATGTCCAACTTTCTTGAATCAGCCAGAAAATGTTTGGGTATAAGCACTATTTCTGCATCTTATTCAAACGATTGGAATCCCAGAGATAATTAGAATGATTTTTCAGATGGTGTAAAATCAGTGCAGGCAGATGAAGGCTTATTAAAGTTTCATTAACCTAAAGTTGATAGGTGATAATCTGATTCATATATTGAGTGGTGCTTTTTTTTAACCAGTTACGGCATAAAAATCCCACATTTGAAATGTTGAGTTGGCCAATCGGGCCATCTTGTCTTGGCAGGGCCATGTAACCTTCCTGCTTCACTGGGTCCTAATGGTTTTCCAGATGTAATTCAGAGTGTTGGTTATCCCCTTACCTGGTATAGGTTCAGGATCAGCTTGTTTGTGGAACTGCTTTCCCCAACTGTTTCTGCCAGCGTTACACATTCTAATGCAATGGACGTACTTCAGATTCCACTGTTGACGCAACATCATGGGATGGGAATGGGGAGACATGCCTTTTCTGTTGCAACACCTGCCCTCAAGAAGGATCTCCCTCTGATCTATGGTTTGCCTGATCCAGTTACCATTTAAAAAAATACACTAAACACTTGGCTGTTCCATCAGGTGTTTGAATCAGAATGATAGGAGATCTCACCTTGGGAGATGTAGTATATATGGAGGGTTCCCAATTGCCTATTAATTGTAGATGTTGTAATTTTTAATTGTATTTCCATTTTTGTTTTTTCTCATTGCTATCCCATCACCCATTGAATTCAGTTGCACGGCTATGTTCCATAAATACATAATCACCTCTTGAATTAGACCTCTTGTTTTTTCAGGGTGGGAATGATGAGTAAATGAATAGGTACATAAATCTACTGAAAGCCATGTTCTTTGAACTTTGTGTCTTTCATTTTCCCCTTGTGAAATATTGTAGGCACGTTTAGTGAAAGAAGTGATGGGATAAGTATAGTTCACTTGTGTCTTTAGCTTGCTCCTCCTTCTAAATTTTCACTTCTGCATCCTATATCTAGCTAGATGACATTCTCAACCCCTCTAACTCTTTTTGTAATTCCTATTTTCTTCAGACAGAATGGAAAGCTAAACTGGGAAGAAGTTGTTCTGAATCCTGGGGTCACCCTCTCCCCCCACCCCCAAAGCTAATAAAATCAGCCACAGAGAAATTTGGAGGACCATCATTTTTAATTAATTAATTGGTTGGCTGGTTGGTTGGTTGGTTGGTTTGTTGGTTGGTTGGTTGGTTGGTTGGTTGGCTGGCTGGCTGGTTGGTTGGTTGGTTCCTTCGTTCATTCATTCACTCATTCACTCACTCACTCATTCATTCATTCATTCATTCATTTATATTTCCTATTAACGGCCCATGTCCCTACATGTAGCCGGGTCAGAAAGATATTGAGGAATTGAGAACCACTGAGAGATTTAAGATGGCCAGGATGATCATATCTCTCCCATCTACCCTCTTCAAATCATCTGGTGGAACCAAATGGCATCTCTATATTTTATCCAAACTGAAAATCTGACTGAAAAGGGTCCAGATAATCCATTTCTTCTGGGGTCCTCTGTAAATGCAGCCTGTACATCTTTTTAACAGTGTTCCTCTAAAAAGGAAAGTTGGAGGCTAGACAAAAATTGGCCAGAGAATTTTTATATCCAATATAAACAAATACATACAGAAAGGTACGGTTTATACACACATACATATACATATGCATACAGATGCATTTTTGGACTATTACCACAAGTCAACGTGGCTCTGACTTCAGATAAACCTTTGAGGTGAAGGACAAGGTTCAGGAGTAATCATGAAGTGAATTTGGCAGAAGCTGTGGGAACTATGGGGCTAAGCAGCCTGCATTGTAAACTAACAAAGTCTTGTTTGTGTTTGGCATTTTTATATGCTCAGGTGGATTTGCAGCTGCAGTGACCACTCCTCTGGATGTAGCCAAGACAAGAATTATGTTGGCAAAGGTAAGAACTTGAAGGAGAGTGTAGAGATGGCTGGCAAGTTTTCAGATTAATAATTCTGGCATCTTGCTTAGTAGTAGCAACAAAACTGAATCCAGCGTCTGTTGCTAATTTCACTGCAAGAATCATAATGAGAGCATAGGTACATTTCATTTCTGCATTGAAGACGAACTACAGTACTATCTTTTCTTCAATAATCTAGTTCTAGTAGCAAATTTGTGCCTTTGAAATACTAAACAGCTTTCTAATCCACTGTTTTTTGTGTGACGTGATGTTCTTAGGTGATAATATTTACATTGATGATGAGTATCTGTTTGTTAGAATAAATGGGAAACTTTAAATTCTTGACTATGAGCTGTTGAGCATATTATTTATTTATTTATTAAGAAGGTGTATATGGTTGCCTACATATAATATAAATACATTATTATTTTATATTATGTGACAAATATATATTAAGATAATGTATATGGCTGCCTCCATATAAATTATATAAATTATGAGTTCCCTCACTGTGACTCCTGAAGGCTTACAGAAGTAAAATCCCAAATATAAAACCCAGTGAACCCCTATCAAAGAAACCACTTAATGGGCTTCATATTCCCCTGGGCACAGGTAGTATTCAGCAGGTTCTGACCAGTTCTGGAGAACCAGTAGCGGAAATTTTGAGTAGTTCAGAGAAATACCGGCAAATACCACCTCTGACTGGCCTCAGCCCCATCTATTCTCTGCCTCCCAAGTCCCAGCTAGATCGGCTGGGTCTTCTTTTGTTGCCCTGAACAGGAGAACGGAGCTGGAAAGCAGGTTAGTGGGTGTGGGAAGGGAATGGGGATTTGGCAGTATCCTTTCCCTGCCATGCCCACCAAGCCATGCCTACAGAACGGGTAGTAAAAAATGTTTGAATCTCAGTACTGCCCCTGGGCCTCTAGGCCTATTCACAACATTATTTTTTCAAGGCCTTTCGAAAGAGTGTCACAATGGAGGCCAATCTTATCTTTGCAGGGGTGATGTTCTTCAGAGAGGGAGCCACCACACAGAAGGCTTATTTTGGGTCCACTAGAACCAAATATTCATTATCTAGTGCAGATCATGGTTTTCCAGTTCAGTCATTCTCATCTCTTGTGAAAGAGTTTCAGCTGTGAGAGACCTTTGTGTGACATTTTGGCTGAAATAACGGTCTTCCCGGAGGCAGCTTTTTATATGTATACGTCTGCTTCTTTTTCTGTATAGACTGGCTCCAGAACCGCAAGTGGGAATGTGTTATCAGCTCTTCAAGGTGTTTGGAGAACTCAAGGGATATCTGGGTAAGGATAAATAAAGGTGCAGGGATGAATTGAGGGAAAATGTAAACACATTTTTTTTTCAGTAGAAAGTGGATTTTTTCCCCCCCTGAATGACTATGCAAAGCAAGATATTTGTATATTTTTTCACTTAAATGTTCCATGCTTTAAATCTTGTGTATGTGCTGTCTGGTGATAATTCATGAGAAGTTTTTGAGTAAGTTAAATTGATGTTAGCTAGATAGTTTTTCTGCAGGGCTGTGAACCAAGGAGGGTGTTTATTTCAGATGTTTTGTATATTGCAAGAGTTTAAATAGTTCATGATGCGAACGGTGGCGGGGGAGGGAAGCTTTTTTGTTGCTTAGGGAAGCCAACAGTTATAATCTGTTTTGTGACTGGTGTGAGTCCATTGTTAAGACATTCTGTAGTTTATTTTGAGTCAAAAGATAGCAGAGTCTTTCCAAAAGAGCATTAGGAAAGTTACGATGAGCACAAAATATTATAGATCTATGTATTCTTTTTTATTTCATGATTTATAATTCACCTTTCCTCTAGGAATTCAAACACTGTATTTTTTCCTCCAGTTTTATCTTCCCCCAAACAGCATATAACTTAATTAGGCTGTGAGACAATGAGCAGGCCCAAATCATCCAATGGACTTTTATGGCTGAATGTAGACTTCATTTTGAGTGCCTTCAGTCCTTAGCCAACTTTTAAATTGATCTATTTAAAAATGTTCCATTAGTTGTGTACTACGAAGTATTTACAACATATACTTTTTTTTAGATTTGCACGTGTGTGTTTTCAAAAATACTATAAGGATCTGAAATGTATGTTCTGTTTGCTAGCTGCTATTATTTGTCAGTAAGCAAACACTTTCCACTGGTGAAATATACTGCATTAAAACAATATTGTTCTTTCCAGTTGTCACAGAATAAATCACAAAATAAACAATGGCAATGAAATAAATAGGATAGCTGGGAGGCAAAGGAAATGGAGTCTGTGGATCCTTTAAATGTTTCTGTGATCTTCTCTCAGGCTGTTTTGGTGCAGAGAGTCCTTCCTCTCCTTCCAAGCTGCTTAATCTAACAAGGCTCATCAGTCATTGCTTCATCTTGGTCTTAACTTACTCTTCCTTCCAGCACATTACTTCCCCCCCCCTCCCAAGTTATTTTCTCTCACCCATTTCTTGAGAAAGTTTTTAATCCGTGTGAAAAGTTATCTGCTGTTCTCTCCAGACCCATATCAGGATAGAAGAACAATGTGTGTGTCTGGGCAGTCATGTGACCCTATGAGAGACAGTGCTCAGCTGTCACATTCTGTCACAAGCTGCTTTTAGCCCCAGCAGCCCTTTGCTAGCTCCCGAAAAACTCTGACTTTCATATGAAAAGAAAACACTTGTGGGCCCTTAGATTATAAGGTTTGTAAGCTTCCCAGAGTCGCTTGAGGGTGAGATGGTTTGGGAAAGAAAAAGGAGGGAGGGAGGGAGGGAGGGAGGGAGGGAGGAAGGAAGGAAGGAAG